GGCTCCTGAGCTCCTTTTGCAATCATAACTCAAGGCAGTAAAGAAGGAGAACTGGTGATACCAGCCACGATTGCATCTTTTGTCAGGCAATGATAAACATCAGCAGGAACTACTGCCACTTACTTTTTACTGGCTATAACTGTAACTACTTGCCCTAAAGAAAAGGTAGAAAAGAAAGGGCTTAGCTTTTGCCAGACTTTATCATGCAGGACAGCAAGAACTGCTATAGTTCTTGAACTGGGGAATAACATCCTCAAAAAAGGTGTCTTAGGATGGTGTAGCCTGGAGTCAATGGAAAAAGTAAAACTAAAAATGGAGATCAGTTAAAAGGATATTGCTGCAGCCGGTGAAAGGAAAACTGAATTGAAATGAAGACTGAAGAAATAATAAAGGACTTAATTTAAGGGACATGTCTACTCACAGCTATAGGCGAAGAGATGTGTTTCTGTGCTTTTTCTTGTCAATATATATAATTTGTTTTGCAAAGACAGAGATGTATACATAAGTAGCTTGCATGTCATGTTTCCTTTCTCCTCCGTGTCCTTGACTACAGCCTCCATTCACTAACTCAACAAACACTGAGCCCCCACTTTGTGCAAGGACGTGCCATGCCCTACAGGATAATGCAAAGTTGAGTCCAGCACAGATCATACCCTCAAGGAACATACAGACCCGAGAGGGAGGAAACACCTGTCCCCACATCCTTAAATTGCAAATTAGTAAAATAAGTGTCATCAAGTCATAAAAGTTCAGAGGAAGTTTTACCTTATCCAGAGAGATAGAGGGGTAGCTTTCTGAAAAAGGTGGCGGTTGAGCTTGGTCTTAAAAAATAGGCCAGATGCAGTGGCACAAACCTGTAATCTCAGAAGCTGGGGAGGCTGAGGCAAGAGGATCCTGAGTTCAAAGCCAGCCACAGCAAAAGCAAGACACTGAGCAACTCAGTGAAACCCTGTCTCTAAATAAAATACAAAGTAGGGCTGGAGATGTGGTTCAGTGGCCAAATGCCCCTGGGTTCAATCCCCGGTACCCAATAATAATAATTGGATTTTATTTGATAGACTAAGAAATATTTATTGTACCATTCATTACAAAGGGCAAGATCCTGAACATCTACATGTGATTGTGTGTTCGTGTTTCATATATGTGTGTCTGTTTCTGAACATGTATATGTTTCACTAAGTGTACCTAGCTGTTATCTCCCTGGGTTTTAATAATTGGTGTTTTTATACATTCATACAAAATTCCACATGTACAATCTACATGTGGCCAGCAGATGGCATCACAAAATCATAACTACCAAGGAAAATTCTACCTTCTTCCAATCAAGTAACATCTCAAATCCTATTCCGCCTTAGATAACCAGGCCTTTGTAGGGGGTGTTTATCTACTTCAATCATAAGCCTTATTCACCATTGTCTTCCCATGCTCAGTAAAATATCTAACAAATTGAAGATAACAAATACGTTTAGAATAATTTGATGAAATGCTAACAGGTCCAGTGAGAGAAATGGAGCTAGAGAGAGCCAAGAAAAGAAAGAAGTGTAAAAAAGTCTGCCCATCAGCAAAGACCCCACAGGAAGTGGATTTCACAGTCACACTCATAGAGTCACAGAGGGGTCAAGAGGAAGGTGAGGTAAAACAATAAACTCGGCCCTTGCTGTCACCCTTAAGGTGTCCCTCTTGTATAGGGGCCTCTGACCCTGACCCTTTTCTTCAACTGAACTTTAGTTAGTGCCTAGATAGTACTAGGGCCTACAGGAAATGCCATCTCTCCAGCTTGGGTGCTTACAACCTGAGTAGAGAAATAAAACTTATTTTAAAATGACAGCTGATACAGCTCTCTGCCCATGGCTGAGGGTGCCCCTTCTTACTCCTCAGACTAAGTGTTCCAGCAAGAACAAAGCTGGATAGCCAGGCATGGTGGTGCAGACCTGTAATCCCAGCAACTCAGGAGGCTGAGGCAGGAGGACCACAAGTTCAAAGCTAGACTCAGCAACTTAGAGAGGCCCTAAGCAACTTAGCAAGACATCTCAAAATAAAAAAAAAATAAAATGAGCTGGGGATGTGATTCAGTGTTTAAGTGCCCCTGGACTCAGAGCCAGAGGAGGTTCCAGCTGGGTCTGCCCACAGACCTTCTGACCCAGAGGACCGCTGACTTCTGGCACTTCTTCCCCAACCCCTCTTACCCTGGTCAACTTAGGTCTCTCCCTGCCATCAGCCCTGCTGATCTACTCAAATGTCTCCAGATATTCAGAGTCCAAGTCTAGGATCTCTCCCCTGCACCTTCCCCATCCCAATGCAAGACTCTTCATTAGCCTCTCCAGGAAGGAGAAGGCCTCTGATTGCCCACAGTGACTACTGCTCACAAGAACATAGATGCCGCCTTCAATACTCCCTTTGCTCCCATGGGGAAACTGAATCTCAGTTCGTTTTGCAGCAAAAAAACTTGGACCAACAAAAACCTAATGAAAGGGACCAGCCTCAGGTCGTCTGCACCCTAGGAGGAACTGGAAGTATAAAACACATTCATGATCCAGTCCAGTTGTCACAATGGATGGGTCTAGCTGCTTCCCCTTGTCTCCCTGTCCTCCCCATCGACTTATTCCTTTGAGCTGCCAGCAGCATGCAGAGCTGGGATCTATTATGCCTCGCTGGTCAAGGTCCCTTCAGGGCCCTCTGAGGAATTCCACATACCTCAGCTGGGCACTCAGGGCCCTCTGCAAAGCAGACTCTGCTCCAGCTGTTTCTCCCATCACTCCTTCATACCCACTTACACCCACACTCTCAGCTCCCTGGATGTACTCAATTCCCTCCTCCTGCACTTAGCTAAGGCCACTCCTCCCTGGAATGTTCTCTCTCCCCATTTCCACCTGGCAAATGACCATCTGCTTTTCAAGGCCACTTTAATTCCCATCTTTTCCTAAGGCCTTTGGTGCTCCACCCCAATCTGACGTGGCCTCTCTCTCCTCTCTTGGCATTGTTATCCTTAGCTTACTATCTTAATGCTTTATTATCTGAACATCAATCCCTTCTACTCAACTCTAAGCCCTGCAAGGGGAAAAAAATCTGTTTCTTATTCATCTAGTATCCAGCAACCTGTTTGATATGTAGCAGATGCTCAAAAAAATGCAGAGGAGGGAGTATATCAAAGTTTGCTGTATGTGTGGCTGTCCTTCAATGCTATGAGACACGGGTACAAAGAACTGTGATCCCTGAGGAGTACAAAAGACTGATGTTCTTTCTATTACAAGATGAAAACACTGAGACCCGCTTAGGTGCCAGGTGCCTCCTGGCCTCAAATCTACCTCCTCGGTTTCCTGGCCTCCTCAGTCCTTAAGGACTGACCACTCAGAAAATCTCTCTCATCTTTTCCTCCCTTTCTCCCTTTTCCTTCCTTTCTTTCCCCTGTCATCCCATAAACCTTGGGGCTCCTGCCCACAGATCCCTGGGGAAAAAATATAAAAAGGCTGAGGGAAACTTCCCCCTTATGAACACTGGGTGAGGGAGTGATTATTGGAGGTCACTGTCTTGGTCAGTTCCTGTTTCTGGAGCAAAGATGCCAAAATCTGTTCCTTTTTCTCATGAAAAAATGTAGAAGTTTTGACATTCAAAATTCTCAGAATCACTACTGTTACTGCAGGCTGGCTATATCAGAATGAAAGGTCTGTCAAGGCCAACAGGGCCTGCTCCTCATGGGTGAGTGTCTAAGGGCAACCCTGGAAATGACACATCCTGCCCTGACCCTTCCCAGTTCCATGGCATCCACCAGGCCTGTCTGAGGAGGAGGAAATGCACTATGATAGGTCTGGCTGGGGGCCTTCTATTTCCTCCCAGGACCTTGGAAGGGACTTACTCAGAGGAGAGTCCCTCTCCAACTGATGTCTGGATACTGGAAACCCCTAGAGAGGATGAAAATTGAAGCTGGTAATTTGGACTTTTTTTTTTTTTTTAAGAGAGAGGGAGAGAGAGAGAGAGAGAGAGAATTTTAATATTTATTTTTTAGTTATCGGTGGACATAACATCTTTGTTTTGTATGTGGTGCTGAGGATCAAACCCAGGCCGCACGCATGCCAGGCGAGCACGCTACCGCTTGAGCCACATCCCCAGCCTGGTAACTTGGACTTATGTGATATAGGTCAGTGTGGGAAACTCCATCCTTGTCCCACTTTGAGTTTGAAACAGTCCTGCCTGAGGATAAGCAGACACAACTACACTCAGCCTTGGGCCAAGGCACTTCCTCGTGAGCTCCAGTTCCACCTGTAATGGCCAGACTGTACCACCTCAATGTGGAATTAGACCCTGGTGAACCTCTGAGAAATGAAGTGGTCCAGTGTGGAAAATACTGGGAGTGGAGATGGGGCAAGGGTGGATTACAGAAATAGGTACATATCAACTAAGCCATGCTCAGAACCTAGAGCTAGAATAAGAAAGAATGAAAATGGGGTTGGCATGAAGATTAGGATCAAGGTGTGAAGTTCAAGTTGGTCTTAGGGAGGTAATAAACTGGGACCCCCTTGATGTGGTAAGAGAGACAACATGGCAGGGTGTGGGTAGCAGGTTCTCTGTGTATTCAAGAAGCAAAACTAAGCTTTCTGGCAGGATCCACGTCTGTCTTGCTTTTCCTCTTTATGCTGCCATTTGTACTATACTGGTCCAATTCCTTCCTCTTTCTCCTGTCTTGTCATGTAACACAATCAATCATTGTCCTTACTGTAGGGCAACCACCATACTAGACAGTATTTTCTGCAAAAAAATATAGAAGGGCCAAGTGTGGTGGTGCACGCCTGCAATCCCAGTGTCTCAGGAGGCTGAGGCAGGATCAACTAGCCCTGTTCCAAGAAGCAAGGGCCAGTCTCCTAGTAGAAGTTATCATGAGCCCTAACTAGGGTCCGCCATCTACCTTCCTGTCTCCCAATCCCCAACCTGAAATCTTGTTTTGCTGGGATGTTTCTCAAGCTCAGCTGACTCCATGAAGAGTTTCTATCCCTCTCTCAGGCCTTCACACCACAGTCTGAGACCTCCTTATGCAAGCCCGGATTGCTATTCATCTCAGTCCTCATCTTCCTCTGTCTCCACTCCCTGCACCCCTCAGCACTCACAATGGTCTCCTGAGGAGCCAGCCTCTCCGGTCCAAGCCAAGCCAGCTCCCTGCCTTGTTCTCAATGCCTACAGTAAAGAAAGATCAGCACAGCAAGTCCCAAGGTCTAGGCCTGCAATATTTGGGGACGTCAGTGGCCGGGGCTTTTCAAAGGGTATGGCTTGGACCTACGGAGACCCCATTGCTAGGAGCACATTCCAGATTCTCAGCGCCTCCTCTACTGGGACCCTCATGAGCTTTGAATTTACCCGAAGATGGGCCTGACCCAGCATCAGCAGGGACTGGGGGACTGCTGTGCAGAGATGGCCGACCCAGATGCCCAGTGTCAGAGACGGTAGGGGGCAGGAGGCTGGGCTTGGCCAGGAGTCTGCGGGAGCCGAGCCTGGGACCATCCGCGAGGTCCCCATCTCGAGGTTCCACCGGGCTCAGGAGTACCAGGTGCTGGCCGTGGGGGGTGGGAGCGCTACCAAGGTAGATGTCCCCGAGGCAGTGCAGGAGACTGGCAAGGACAGCCCTCGCCTGCGCGGGGCCACCAGGGTCGCGCTCTCCGCTGCGACCCCCGCCCTCCCCGCGGGGCCAGCAGAGCCCCGCCCGCCCGCCTGAGCCGGAGCGCGGCGCCGCGGGAGGAATTCCAGCCATTTCCTCTGCGCCGCGCGGTATGTGGCCTGCTCGCTGCCCGACCGCAGCACGGCCCCGGGTGGGGGCCGCCGGCGCGGGCCAGTCCCCAGCCGCGTCTGGCAGCTGCCCGAGCCTCGCGGTGCTGCTCGGGATTCCCGGCCAGCAGCCTCCTCCTCCCGGGCAACCAAACCGGCCTTTCCAGCAGCCCCGGGCCTGCGTGTTCCCGCCGGGAGCCGCTCCTCCCCCGCGTGCCCGGTCTCGGGTTTCATCGCCCCCATCGCGCCCCTTCTGCCGCCGCTGCGGAGGAACTTGGCAGCCAGATCGCTCTTGCGAGTCCCCTGCATCCGAATTTGAAGCTGAAGTAGACAGTTGCTCTGTCACCTCGGGGCATGTCCTGAGACCTAATTGCCCAGCCTCAGTTTCTCCATCTATGAGATGGTGACCCTGGCAGAAATGCCTTCCTCATTTGTACCGAGGTTAAATAGAAAAGGAAAATCCTGGACAAATGTTAGCGACATTTTTGTTTTTCAGCGTCTCACTACTGTCCTTTACTTTCCACACAAGATCTCCCTGCCCTCCGCCTCTTCTGCAGCCTGGTTTGCAGGTGGAGCAGTCAGGGCGGTTCCTGCAAGTAGGCACAGTAGATGGCCTCTTTACAGGGCGACATGCCCACGGAAGTGCACTCAACTAACTGAAAAGTGCCTGAAAGGCCGACCCTGGAGTCCTGGTAGGTTTTAAGCATTGCCCTCTTCTCAATCACTAGGTTCTTGCAGGACCCAAGGGTGGTTATTTAGATTTTTTTTTTTTTTTTTAATGATGGTATTGCTGTCTGAGAGCGGCCAGACAGGTAGTGATTAGGGGAAATTGAAGGTGCGGACAGCAAACGTGGATTCTATAGTTTTGTGTCTGAAAAGAGGATCGGCCACCAAGTGCTCTCAGGGAACCTCTTCCCAAATATAGATCCCCAGAGAGAAGGAACATTTTTTCATCCTTGAACCCTTCTGAGGAGGGGTGGAGGCAACTGTGAGAGCCAGAGCCCAGGGCGACATAGAGGGTGGGATCTGCTTCTCCAGCCGCCCACACCTGCCTCACCCCACACCCACGGCCACCGCCAATGTGACACTGCGTGGGGTTGGAAAGCCCCGAGTTTCACTAGGCCTAACCACCGACCGCTTCTCAGACACTGCACGGAAGAGCTGCTCTGCCTGGGTGTTTCCCTAGACAGCCTCTTGTTTTGATTTTGTAACTTTTAATCCGGCAGAGTCCCAAGGCCAAGAGCTATTCCCTTGCAATGAAAAGCGCCCCCTCATTCCCCACACACACTACAGTCACAGGCCGCATAAATCCAGGTGGAGACAGGTCCAGAAACACAGGTGCTATATATATCCTAATCCGGTGGGGTGGCTGAGCTCGCAGACAGCCCCTCCCCAGACGCGCGCCCCTGAGCCCAGCACTTCCGGCCATCTTAGCGCAACCAGTCGGTCCTCGGCGGTGGGAGGGGCAGGCTTCATTTGTACTAGCGGGCTACCCTTTCTTCTCCGGAGGATGCCAGAAAGCCCAAACTGAGCTTTTATTTTCTACTCTGGACCCACTATCCTACCCTGGGCCCCTAACCCCAATCGCTTTCCCTTGCATCCTTTCTGTCCCCTGGTATTTTCAGAGGACCTCCAAAGGACCCCAGAAGGCAGTCTCCAAGAAATGCAGACTCTCAGGCACGATGACGTATGTTCAGAATCCCAGCAAGTCTGGGAGGCTGAGGCAGGAAAATGGAAAGCTCTAGACCTGCCTAAGCAATTTAGCGAGAGCCTATATCAAAATAAAAACAAACAAACAAACAAACAAATAAATAAATAAAAAGGCTGGGGATGTAACTCAATGACAAAGCGCCCCTGGGTTCAATCCTCAGTACCAAATAAAAGGAAAGAAATTCAGATTGCATCATTCGAAATGGGTGAGAGATGCTGCCTTTTGTTGGAGGGCAACAACCTAAATCAGATTTCAAACTTTTAAATACGATTCTAAATTATAGGTAGCATTTTTGTTGAGTAGAGGGGATGAAAACAAACAAAACTCAATCTGGAGGCACAGTAACAGAGGAAGGAAGAAGCTGAAAATATATGTAAAGTGGGGAGAGTCCCCATCAGGAAAGAAAGTTGCCCTGCCAGCAGGCTGTTTTCCAGGACCTTAGTAGGATTTTATGAACTGGTTCTGCTGGGCCTGGGACTTTAGAGAATTCACTGAGCCTAAAGGGTTAATAAGGTCCCATGACTGGGGCTAAGGGGCTCCAACACAAAAATTTCCTCTAGGGTATTTAGAGAGAAGTGATGGCTTGGGGAAAGGGTAGAAGAAGTAAGACAGGTTTAAAGATGAATGAAACAGATTTGAACCACCAGTGGTCAAATGGGACTGTAAAAATAAGCTTTCACTAGATAAGTAAATCCCCATTTAAAACATAGTGGGTAAGTCTTCTAAAAATAAAGTCACATTCCTTTTCCAGTGTGGGAGCTTACTCTTTAGACCCTGCTAAGGAGGCGCTGTGCAAGCTCTATCTCATTAAATCCCACTTAGAAGGTACTTATGAATTCCCCATTTTAACGATTCAAAAACTGAAGTCAGAGAGACTAATTAACTTGCCAATGAATTCACAGCTAGTAAAGGAGAGATTTTGAGCCAGGGAACTGATTCCAGAGGTCATAGTTTGATCCTGTGTTGTAGGATAATAAACTCAACTGTTCTCTCTGAGATGGCAATGTCTCCCCTGCACACCTCAGCTCTCTTTCACAGTAAGGAAGAACTTCTTCACGCCTCATCTGCCTCTAGCAGACCTGAGCCAATGCATCCTCATTGAACTCGATGGCTTTCCTGAGGGACCCAGGCAACTGATGCCCTGGTATATGAAAGAAACTGCCCATAGAAGCAGGATTCCAAATGGACTGGATGAAAGTCGCCAAGGCCAGAGTTAGCGCCAAACCAGCCCTTCCAGTGTGTTTTCAGCACCACAGGGCAGCTCAAATGGTATTTTTGCTAAAAAGTCAACATAAAAGAATCATTGTGCTTAACAAAGCCAGATGTGTGCTTAAATTTATACAAGTCACTGATATCCCACCTTGGTCCATGGACCCAAAGGACCCAGAGATGATTTTCTCTGGCTCTCCTCGTGTTTTTTTAAAAGTTGAATCAATTACCAGAAATTTTAATTTGGAAGATCGCACAGAAATATCTAGATTTTTTTAGCTTCTCTCCCCCAGGTCTGTCCACAGTGACATGTATTTTTAGTTCACAGTCCCATCGGTCCATCCTCTTTCTCCCACCTCCTAGGGGACCCATCCTTTCTCTATCACTAAAAAAGCAAAGATTCACTAAGGAAGTCACTCTCGAATCTTCACCGTTCACATACCAATAAGATAATCTTTTCTTGGGAGCTGATGAAGGGAAATTGAGGAGAGTTAAGGAAAGAAAGCATGGCTCCCCCAAACAGGGAGTCAGGCCACACCAAAGCACAACAGAGAGGATTTCTAGAGCGCTAGAAAACCACAAGATGAGAAATTGATGTTCAGGTGGCAGTCATGAAACTAGAGTGTGTAAGAGAAACATCTCCGGCTTCCCATGAGCTCAGCTTCTCATTTCACCCAGCAAACACCAGCCTTTTCTTAGCATCCCGTGTCCCTTTTTCTGCCCCTCTTCTACAAGTGCCTTGGGTAATGGACAGAGGCAAAGCCTGGAGGTGATTACAAGGCTGCCGACTCAGGCTATGAGTGAGCCCAAAGGAATGGGTTTGGCTTGCAACCAGGACAGAACTGAGCCCAGAAGAGGAGCTGAATAAAGATCAAGTCCAAGTGCTTAACTGGGGTCTGAACAGCCAGGAATTGAAGCATGGTCTCATTCACAAAGGTGATGAGCAGCTGTGTTTTCTGAAACATGGACCACAGGAGCAAAAATCATCTTCCTCTAATTGGAAGGCTTTTCCTGCCAAAGAAGTTTATTGTGCAGGCAGAGAGGGGAAGAGTGAGGAAAGGTTTTGAATTAAAGATGTGGGAATAGAGGAGGGCCTTAGAAGGATATTCCTGCCAGACTTTGGGGCTACATTAACTTTCCTTAAATACCTGGGAAGATTTCAGCTCTGAATATTTAATGAAGGCCCTTTTTTTGGCAGTGGCCCATGTGGCAAATGTGTCAACAGAGCCCTAGATGTGTACTCTGGGGGTGGGGAGTGGGGTAGATGAGATGAAGTACTTTTAGAGAAACAGGAAGTTTAGTAATCAGAGAGAGGAAAATATATCTGACCTCTTTTAAAACCAGTGGATAGTATGTCAGAGTCAGAATTTTCACAATTGCTGGAAAAAGTGAAAAATTAGAGAACAGGACAGTGAAAAGAGAGGCCCCTGCAGGGAGTTGCAGGCGAGATTAGGGACAAATTCTAATCAGAGAGCCTCCTTTAACATTCCCCCATCACTGAGTAGAAAGGGGCCCCTAAAACTCCCTCTACATCCCAACATTCACAGCCTTACTACCATCATCTGTCTTGAATCCAGAATTACTCGTCTCACCAAGTTGTGTCTGTCCCAAATCACCCTGATTCAGGTCACCTCCTATTTAGCTTGCTAATCCTTATGAGACACCCTCTGTTTTTCCCCTGCTTTGTGCCCTTCTCCTTTTCCTCCCAATCCTCCCTCCTTTCCTTTCCCTCTGGAGCTCATAATCCCTGGTTAGCAAAATCACCTTGATCCTCAACATATATCTCTGAGCATCTTTTCACATCTTTCCTGGGGACACCTGGCCTTCCCTACTTTTCCCACAACCCCCTCAAGCAGGAGCCATTTTTCTCTCACAGCCCTGTCATTAGACCTGGAAGTGAGATAGGTGTCCGTCTTATTCTTCTTTGTGACTTTTAGAACTCTCTCTCTACTTCTCTGCAAACCCTTGAGCCCCACATTGAATTTCGTATCAAGTGAATACTGTCTTCTGCCTCAAAAGTAATTTTCCATTATTTCAGGTCCTGTTTTACTCACACGATCAGGTGTGCACACTCACTCTTTCCAGTAGTCTTAATCTGGTGATTTTAATATACATGTAGGTGACCCTTCCAATACCCAACCCTCCCAGTCCCTTGAACTCTTCTCCTCCAGTGACCTTCCCTCCACTCAGCTCTTAGTTGTGATCACCTACAACAACCACATCTTCACAATCTCATTTTCTTGAATCCCACTCTGACTACAGCCTCCCAACTTTCCACTTTACTTCCTCACCTGATCCCAGCCGTCCTTTGACTCCATCAGAACCTCAATCTATTGATCCCACCACCCCTCACTATTACCACCCTTTTGATGTTCCTACTCCCCTCCCATAAATTTTGGTCAGTCATTATATAAACATTGATGTTGTATACACCCTCAACTCTTTTTCTTGTCCTAACCACCTGGCATGATGACAGATTTAGTCACATCCACTCTGTGCCTACTTCATACATCCATGCCTCCAGCTGAACTCAGCTAGAGAAAAGCACAGCCATGCTGTTTGATCTCATTTTAAATTCATGATGATGAAATTCAAGCAGACCCTTAATGCTGCTCAGTAGCCATATTTCCTTGGTCTGTTCGCTCATTTTTGCTCCTAGATAGTTTCATACTTTCTTTTCTCAAACCTTTAACAACATCTCCCCATTCTCACTCTCAGATGATAATTGGATCCTTTGTTTTTTCCCTACTGGGAGAGCAGGAGAGACCAAAGACAACTCTACAGATTCCCACCACCATGTTTATCCCCTGACCAACAGTGGCCTCTTGATACTTTGCCCTCTTCTGCCTATTACCCATCCATCAAAGCAAAGTTCTCCACTTGTGCACACAACAGGATCCCTCTCACCTACTCAAGGACATTCTTTGGCAATTCTTCCCTTTTTACTCTTAGAATAAATCGTTGCTCTCTGCTGGGTCATTTCCACCAGCACACAAGCATGCTATTATTTGTCATATCTTAAAAACAACAAAGCCTTTTAATGACTGTACTTCCTTTGGCAGCCACTGCCCCATTTGTTTGCTCGCCTTTAGAGCAAGCGCCTCCAAATAATCATTAACACTTGCTACCGCCAATTCTCCTCCAGTTCTCTCTTAAACCAACTCCACTCAGCCTTATATCCCCATTACTTCACAGAAATGGTTCTTGTCAAAGTCACCGTGACTTCCATCTTGCTAAATCCAATGGCCAAGTCTAAGCTCTCATCTTACTGATTCACAGTATTTGATATGATTGACCACTTCTTCCTTCTTGATAGAGTTTCTTCACTGATACTCACTTTAGAACTTCTTGTTCTCTATGTTTTGCCCCACCTCACTGCCCCCAATCTTCTTGATTTTTTTTTCCTGGTTTCTCCTCTTTTCTCTGACCCCTTGTAAGGGTCCGGCAAAGCGTCCCAGAAAGAGACCACCAAGAGACCTCTCATGCAATTGGCAGAAGGGGATTTATTGATTCAGCATGCTGAGGCTCCGTGCCCACTCAGGAAAGGAGAGCATCCCAGAACCCCGGGCAGGGGTTGAGCAGTGCTTAAGTACACTTTTTGGAGAGGGCAGGGGCTTTGCATACATCAGGACAAATCATCATGAGGCGCGGGAAAATCAAACAACAACTCTTAGACATGATTAGTACATTCATTGGCGGGAACAGGCTGGGCAGGGGTGATTGGTCACTTCTAAGCTGGGTACACATTCAAACTGATTGGTTTTGGGCCTTGAATGCCTACATGCTGGGCTACACAGGGTCCTAAGTTATTAAACAACCAGAGGATCAGGAGGAATATTTACTGGGCAGTTTGGGTATTGTCCTAAC